CTGGGGAAATGTGATGAAGAGGACGACGAAGAAGAGGATGATGATGAAGCTGTGGATGAAGCTGTTGGATCTTAAGGCTAGTGAAGAGCTACTTCATAGTTGATCCATTTTCTGTTGTATAAAGGATGTTATTTTTGTGACTGAGAATCCAGATGCTGGATATATTTATACACTGAGCCATCTGCTTTTGCTCTAAGAAGTTGAAAAATTGAACTGTGTATTTCCTGAAGAATGGAATTCTTCCCCCACAAACATGGTGGCAAGAGAAGCACTAATGTAAATGTGACAGCAGAACTTGCTCAGATGACCGAAAATGACTTCTTCAGACAATCATTATCCAAACGTACAATTCCTTACGGGCAGCTCTCAGTCCAAAAGCTCTTTTGCTCTTTAAAAGGGAGCTCTTCCCCTGTTTGTGTTTCTCAGGTGAAGGGAGGGTTTTTACCCAGGATCTGCTACTCCTAGTCCTCATCTGCTTGAGGAGCCAGTAAGTGATCCAACCCTTCCGCAGCTTTCTGGAACAGTGGCAGGACATTAGTAGTGGACCAAGCCCAATTTTGATAAGTGTTCTGTTTTGGTTTTGATTTAGCTTTAAAAAGAAAAAAGTAATAAAGCTCTTGCTGTAATGGAGCCTAAACTGGCACGTCTGCCGTGTACAGAAACTGAGTAGAGGACGAGAGCCATTCCAGCAGGGAATGTGTTTCAGCAGCTGAGGTGATGAGCAGTAGAAGCCATCGATGATGACGTAAATGTGTACAGGAGCTTTTCTCTGCAGTCAGTTCTTCACACCTGCGGTTTGTCCGCGGCGCTCTAACAAAGCGTGAGTTGATTGAAGTCTGTTAAATGTGGATTGTTGAGAGTGAGCAACCCTTTCCCGCTTGAGTGACAGAGCTGCGTGGCTGAATTTTCTTTGTTTTTTACTTTACAAACAACTGTCCTGTCCTGTGTACAACTTTATATGCGACTTTTTACAATAAATATTTTTAGGAAAAAGTGACAGAGGTGCAGAACCTTCCTGCAGTTTTTTTCCAGCTTCAGTTTACCATAGAACAAAACTGTATTGTGTCAGGAAGGGTGCAGTGAGTGCTACGTGATGTTTTACCTGTTGAGAGATCCCCACGTGGGTATGCAGAACTGTGCTGTTGTTGAAAGGGTTGAGGTTTTTTGTTTCTGTAATCATTAAAAGTGTACGGAGAGCTGTGGGAAACTGACAGTTGAGCACTGTGTGTTTGGGGTGGGAGATGTTGTCTGCAGTAAGGTATGTAAATTATGAACAGTGATTTTCTCAGCACTTGGTGTAGCTAACACTTGCCAGCTTTGGGGGAACAGAAGCAGCTTTTTTCTCCCTAGAAGAAAGTTGCATGGTAAACCTATAGCATAAACAAGGTATGGGGCAGCAAGGTGAAACAGAGGTGGACTCAAAAACTGCTGTTCACCATGATGGTTGTGTTGAAAAGTCACAGAAGAACAGCCTAATTGTGGAGCGTAACCTCTTGGTTAAGTCACTGCTGCACTACCTGATCCACAGTCAGGTGGGTCATGACCTACGAATCAGAAACCCAAACGAGCCCCCAGCAAAGATGTCACTGTACTGAGCACACACATCTTGAGGGAAAGACAGCAGGACCGATGAGCTTTAGGGCAAATGTGCTTAGAATCATAGAATCATAGAATCACCAAGGTTGGAAAAGACCTAAAAGATCACCCAGTCCAACCGTTCACCTATTCCCAATAGCTCCTACTAAACCATGTCCCTCAACACAACATCCAGTCTTTCCTTGAACACCCCCAGGCTCGGTGATTCCACCACCTCCCTGGGCAGTCCGTTCCAGTGCCTGACCACCCTTTCTGAAAAGTAATACTTCCTGATGTCCAGCCTGAATCTCCCCTGCCGTAGCTTGAAGCCATTCCCCCTGGTCCTATCACTAATGACACGAGAGAAGAGGCCGACCCCCAGCTCACTACAACCTCCCTTCAGGAAGTTATAGAGAGCAATGAGGTCTCCCCTGAGCCTCCTCTTCTCCAGGCTGAACATTCCCAGCTCCTTCAGCCTCTCCTCATATGGCCTGTGTTCCAGACCCCTCACCAGCTTTGTTGCCCTCCTTTGAACACGTTCCAGGGCCTCAATATCTTTCTTGCAGTGAGGGGCCCAAAACTGGACACAGTACTCAAGGTGCGGCCTCACCAGTGCTGAATACAGGGTAACAATCACCTCTCTGCTCCTGCTTGCAACACTGTTTCTGATGCAAGCCAGGATGCCATTGGCCTTCTTGGCCACCTGGGCACACTGTCGGCTCATGTTCAGCCGAGCATCAATCAATACCCCCAGGTCCATTTCCTCTACGCAGTCCTCCAGCCACACCGCCCCAAGCCTGTAGCGTCGCCTGGGGTTGTTGTGGCTGAAGTGCAGGACCCGGCATTTGGCCTTGTTGAAACTCATCCCATTGGCTTCAGCCCAGCTCTCCAGCCTGTCCAGATCCCTCTGTAGGGCCTCGCTACCCCCAGGCAGATCCACACTTCCAGCCAATTTGGTGTCATCTGCAAACTTACTGAGGGTGCACTCGATGCCCTCATCGAGGTCATCAATAAAGATATTGAAGAGGACAGGCCCCAGCACCGACCCCTGGGGAACACCACTCACAACTGGTCGCCAGCTGGATTTGACTCCATTCACCACCACTCTCTGTGCCCGGCCCTCCAACCAGCTCCTTACCCAGCCAAGAGTGTATCCATCCAAGCCTCTGGCTGCCAGCTTCTGCAGGAGAATGCTGTGGGAGACAGTGTCAAAGGCTTTGCTGAAGTCTAGGTAGACCACATCAACAGCCTTTCCCTCATCCACCAGATGGGTCACTAGATCATAGAAGGAGATCAGGTTGGTCAAGCAGGACCTGCCCTTCATGAACCCATGCTGATACTATACTTACTTATGCTTATACTTACTAGCGTGGTTTTAAAGCGGCATTTTCCATCACCGGTTCTTTGGAGCTGACCCAGTTATCCATCATGCCTCTCACATGAGCCAGTCATGGTGCTGTGCAGGGGTTCTAAGGGAAGATATCAGTCACTTGCCCAAAGCTGCCATCTTGAGCCTGGCGAGGAGGCTCAGCATGGTCAGCCACCATCTGCAGGTTGTAAACCAACACTGCGATTGAGCGCCCAGTGGCACAGCAGGAGCAATGGTGCTTTGGGACTGAAGGAAAACAAAGTTCTCTGGGGACATGTTAGATGGTGGCCAGTTGCATGAGGGTCACTTTTGTGAGACCTGAAGTGGGAAATTCTGCCACAGAATTAAGAGGCTGCTCCAGTGCTTGCTCAGTAGCAGTGTATTTTGCTGCTGAAGGCTATTAGCCACATACCTGGGCTTTGGTCGCAGATGGGCAGAGGTGTCCCTGGCCACAGGTGGTCTGCACTCGGTCATCCTGAAAGCTATCCTCATTTATAGCTGATAGGAATGTGGCCTTGCTGCCTCAGACCTGTAGCCTAAGCCTGAGGTGGTCCAAGCTGCTTGGGAATAGCTGGCAATGAACCATGGTTTTGTAGCACACGCAGTGTTTGTTCCACTGCGGAACATGCAGCAAAACTGAAGCACTTCTGCTACCGTGACTTGGGTTGATGCAGTCTCTTTTAGCCTCCACAGAAGGAACACATTCTCCATGACAGTGCTATGCTATTCCTTTAGGTGCTACAAGGCTGTGACCAAGGCCTCTGGAGCCATATCTGTCCCTATCTGGTATGAGAAAGGTCATTATAAAATGGCTGAAGCTCAAACAAGATGAGCCATCCTAAGTGGGCTTTCATTAGGAGATGCTTTGCTTTTCTTCTCATTTTTCCAAGAATTGATTTTGAAAGTTTGCAGTTGTTGAATGTTTCTGCCCTGCAGGGAAGGCAGCTGCAAGGCAGGAAGCTGACAGTACTTCTCAGGGTATCTGGGCCTCTTTGAAGCGCTCAGAGATTTTGGACAGCAGAACACATGCTGGGGGATGGAAGCTTTCCAGAATGAGCGCTATTATGTCTGTATTTTTGGTTTCCTTCCTGCAACACAAGCATGGAAGATTCTCCCCAGCACGCCCAGGCTGCTCAAAGGCAACGAAGCTCCCATCTTTCTCAGCTTGCAAAAATGCCATAAGGACTGTGGTTACCAAGTATAAATCACTGTATTTCATCCCTCTTAGAAGTTTCCTGTGGGCTGATGAACAAGCTCTGGGCAATTAGCAAGGCCACAAGAACTTGAACACCCTTTGTATTAATTCCACCAGAGACCTCTATGGGGACTTCATTGCTGCCACAGTTTGCCACAACCAACTGCAGCCTCACATCTGCTCAAGCCTGTCGCCATTCCCTATGAGCCTTGCTTGACACAAGCAAGCTTGCATCCGCTTCAAAGTAGCGTTTCAAATCTAAGGGGAACACAGAGTTCTGCCTGAAATGGGAGGGACAGCTGTGAGTATTTCCTACTATTGAATAAAACGAGTCTGGTCCGCAGGGCTGGGCTGTGTTGGAACTCAAGAGACCTCTGCTATCCTCCTGACTCGATACTTCACTGTAACAGAGAGCTTACTTTGTTTAAGACCTGGGTGCTGTAGGAATGAAGTCAGAACAGAACGAAAAGCAGGACCTTCAGGCAAGTGCTATCCAAAGTAACAACCTTCCATATGTTATTCCAGGACAACTTAGGAGGCATTACGCTAACAGCAGTCCATAATGAACTATTCTGGAAAGCAACAGAAGCAGAGGAGCGCCCACAGAAACATCTGAAACACATCCAAAGGGTTCAATGCAGAAGAGATCACTGGGACCAGGCACTGTGGCTCTTCTAGAACACATACTGTCTCATCTCACAAAATATGGGTTACAATTTGAAAAGGCTCAGTGCGGTGTACTATGAGGATCTCTGCTCAGCCTTGAATCTGTCACTGGGACTTGGAACTGGTTCTGAGCTACAGATGGAAGCCATTGATGGCTTTGGATTAAGTTCAATAAAAAGACATCAAACTATGTTGTAAAGATGAGAAATTTTATTTTATTGACATACTATGAGGCAAAACAAAATTGACACCATACAAAATAACTTTATAAAATATCATTCACATCATTATTTTGTCAGGAATTACAGCATTCTGAGCTTGTTACGAGTCTTAATGTTTTGAGGTGAGAAACACTATGCTAAATCTTTAGTATTAGTTGTATATATACAGTAAGAAACCAAAACAGAAACTGTTAGGTTTTTCATGAGTTTATTGCAAAAGTAGTGCAAACTATTTTACCTTGCAAGCTGTAAAACAAACTTGGAAGAGGACCCACCTAAGCTTAAGAATGTGACAACAAATGTTCAACTTCACAGCCTCTGAAGCTTCCTTCAAAAGCTCTCAACAAAAATTCCCCACCTCTGCATGTTTTTAGGTTTTCACTGACTCGGAAACAAAGCAGCAGAAGATGCACCCACACCAGCAAGAGGCCGCAGGGAACGGGGCACACGGCAGGGAGCAGCTCTCCACAAAGCCAGAGGTTGGGAAGCACGGCCGAGCCACCTCAGAACGTGGACCAACAGGGCAAGCTCAGGCTGCTGGGCTTCCCTCGTTAATCAGCTGCCTCCTCTCCGCACTCGAAAAGAGTCAAGAAAGCGGTACAACAGATTCACCATTCAGAACATCTATTGCCTGTTGTAGGAATACAGCATCCTTTTCCTGAAGCCTACGTAAAGCAACGTCCTCGTGGTCCCCCCTCCCCGTTGCATACGCAATGCAGGGCAACCCCCGTCCATGCAACCAAGGCAGGACACGACATCCTACGAGCGGAACAGAAAACACTACTGGGGTCCCCCAAAGCAAACAGGTAGCTGGTCGTCTACTACAAAAACAAAAGCAAACAAATGCTACATGAACAATGTTAAAGGAACAAAATGCAGCATATTCAGGCTCTTTTTTTTTTTTCTTGAGGTACCTATATAAATATTACCTTCTGCCCAAAGTACTATCTGTTCTGTTAAAAAACTAAAGTCCTTATCATGAGCCAATTGTAGGGCATACATTATTATTGAGAAAGTGCAACCATGCTGATAATTTATATGCAGCATATTAAAGGATGATTAGGCTTTAGAAAATATAGCTTAAGTATAGACCTGATGGAGCAGTTTTATAAAAACATTTAACAGAGGCATTTTCCTTTGTTCGAGTCTCTCTGCAGCAGAAAGCCTTAGGAAACACTTGGAAGTCCTGCCACCACGGAATGTCAGCACTTTTACAATCCCATACATCATTTTTCTTTACTAATTAAACTAAAGAGTACACAAGAGATTCGTCCCCCCACCCCCATATTAGGTATTGGTAAAAAGTTGATTGATTTTTTTTCCCCCAACTTCAAAAAAAAAAAAAAAATAGCATATATCACAACTTAAATTTTCCAAAAAGGAATTATTATTTTTTTTTTAATGTAAAAAAGGTTCACGTAGTAGAAAAACCTATACAGAGTTGTAAACTGTTCCATAGAAAACTGTGGAAAAGTCGATGACATTTTATTCCCTTACCCACACATCCTTCCATTTTATATACAGACGCACGCAGCTGTGCCACGTATGTATATATATGCACTTGAATGGATACACAGAGGTACATCTCTAGGGTTGGGATTATATATATCTCAAGGAGTTCTTTATTGGCTTGTTCTCTTTGCCTAGTTCTGCCGTGATACTGTACACGTGGATCTGACACTGAAAAATCACATTTGCTAAAGCTACTTTGCTGCTTTTTTAAACTTTGTGGTTAAAATTCATTGGCTGTTCTTAATCAAGGACACGACCTTTGATTGTTATGCACTGGGAAAAAAAAAAAACAAACACAAAGGCACGAAGGACACAACTCAAATACAACACTGTCGTCTGCGAAGAAGAAACCCAAAGGGTTTGGGTTGCGGAGGACAGCCTGTGCCGAGGGCGGCTGTCAAACGCGGTTTGGTCGCTTTTTGCCAATCTCATCTGAGACAATTTGAGTAAATAGCACCCAACTGTTTACATGAGGTAGATCCAAACGGACAAAGAAAGCTGGGTCCCCACTGCTTGGTTTGCCCCCAGTTCAAATGGTTTAAGGATCAGACATCGGGCGCAGGAAGGGCGAATGACGGCGCTATGTGAAGCAAGCACACAACTTGAGAAGAGTTTTTCCAACACCAAATAAGTGTTAAGTCATCCTCCTCCTCCAGACAGAGATCTCCTAACAGGGGGAGGGAGCACAACACATCCAACACAAATAAAGCTAAGAACTGAGAATTGGGGCAGGCTGCCAGAGCAACGCATCAGCTTCTGCGGGGCACAGTGACAGCCACTGCCTACAGAGGTCGGTCACAGTATAGAGATCTACAGCTTCCCCTTTCCATCTCAGACAACTTTTTTTTTTTAACTAGTTCAGCCTTACAGGAACACTCTACTCTCATTAAACAGTATTTTTTTGCATACTCTGAGAAAATCTGTCAAATTTATCTTTGTTTTAAGGCTTAAGGTGGCATTGCCACACAGCATCATGCAAACGTTACGCTACGTCATCAAGACAAACACGACGCATTGCGACCCTCCACACCTACACAGAGCCTCAGCAGTTCTGAGTAACACAGAGCAACACCTCATCTCTGCAATAAGCCCTACGACGCCGCTGATGCATTTAAAAGTCAGGAGAGGGTATTTCTACACCTGGATTTTGTATGACAAGTGCCAGTCTTACCCAGCCAGCACTACAGCGTTGACACACCGCAAGCACACACAACAGTCAGCACGCACTCAGTACCACTTGAAATGAGGCCCTTAGCATCTCCGTTTTTGCTTTCAAAATGATAAACTGGTTACAAAAACATTTTTGTTTCAAGGGAGCGCGTCCAATACAAAATTTCTGAATTAATTCTTGGTTCTTTTTCCATTCTTTTTATTTTAAAAATTTAAAAATATTAACAGAAAGATATGAACATCTTAACAGATGTTCATTCAATCTGCAACATACCGAATTAAAGGAAAAAGGATTTAATACATTCTGTTCTCTGTCTCATCTCCCCCCATGATCAGTTAACCACTTTGCTGCACAGAAACGTGGGACTGAGTCTGCATTTACAAACAGCCCTCAAGTCTGAGATTTTGTGGTTGCACACCCTCACAAAGCACTACGGAAGCCAGTGAAGTTGTGCTCATATTCTCCTTCTGTATTTTTATACACAAAGAGCCACACTCAGCTTTCAGTGACACGTGGACACGCACACACACACACCCCTGTGTACACACATCGTTTTCCAAGCTGAACCAAGAAATCACAACAAACTGCAACCTTCCAGAACAGCCCACAACTTTGCCAGATGTACTTTCAGAATCTGTGATTTAGTTTTCCATGGATACGTAATTCTGAACCTTACTCCTCATGTTTTGCTTCTGCTTCCCCCATATGATGTGCTGCTTTCCCAGACAGTCTACCAGTAATTACTCCTCAAGTCCATCTTCTTCCATGAGCAAATTCACACATTATCTCACCCTTCCCTCCATATAATCAAGAAAACACAAACTATTTCTGCTGTTAAACACTAGGTAATAAAAAATGGGCACATACAACAATCTTCATTTAATTTAGAGGCATTCTGGGGATTAAACACTGAGAGGTAATTTAAGATCAATTAAAGATTCAAGTCAGGCAGGCAATTGGAGACATGGTATTTAAGATAAAATAACAGCATTGTCACTTGTAAATGAGATGAGAAATTTAAGGTTCAGCCTTACATGTCTAATGAGAAAATGAGGAACAAAAGAACCAGGGTCAGCATTACCTCTTTTTTATAGCACATTAACAGTGGGTTCTGACCACCTCCAGATGATGCAGAATTAATATTAGTGAAACGTGGACACACGCTTCTCTGGCTGTTGTGTCCACATCTGATGGGCTCGATCCCATCCACTGCCAGGTGCCCGTGCCATACAGCATGGACCACATCTGCTTTGAGTTGTGTGCATGACAAGCACAACCACACAGCTTTACATACCCTGATAAGAACGAAGCTTCCTGTCTGTATATGTGGGAACAGGAAAAGCTGATAAAGAAAGAATAGAATCCACATCACAAGCATTTTTCTGATGAGAAATCTAACCAAGGAACCAGAGAAGGGACCAGAAATTCCCGAGCTCGGTTGCTGACCTTCCCACTGCTCATGTTTGCCAAGCACACTCAAAACCAAAATGGGCAGAAATGTCTCAACTCATTTTTCAGGATCCTGTATGTTTAAATTTATTCTTTAGGGCCAATTCATAAATTTACTCTGAGGTTAAGTCATATCTGTAACTGCTGCTGAGATAGCAGCTATTCCAGCTGGTATTTCAGTTGAGAATAGCACATCCAAAAGGCTGGGGGAGGCAATCTGTGCACACAAAGCCACTATTTACAAACAAACACACCCTTTAACACAGCCTTCTGATGCCAACTGGAGGCTCTTCAGAACGCTGGGTAGGCTGGTTGGCTGGAGAGCTGCCACAGGTAGTTTAAGATGCATCTGTTGAGGCAGTACAGGGACAAATTGTAAACAGTTCTTCTTCTGAAGATGTTTAAAAAGAAGGAAAAGAGCAGCAGCCATTCACATTTTTAGCGCTGCCAAGTGCAAAACTCCAAGACCAGCTCCCACCAACCTCTCACCTACAAATTCAGCACATGTCCCTGTCTTCACTCCAACCAAATCCTAAATTCTCTGCAATACCAAGGGCTAAAAGCAGAGCCTAGCTTCCAGGGGCCTACCCACCAACACTGCCTTTCTGGGGTCAGGGTTGTGCATAGTGTTTCACTTTGCCTTATTTGCACAAAGGATGGGGTAGCTGCATGGCACAGATGGCATTTCTCAATATTAGACATCCAGTGCTGGGCTCCTCCTGATGCTCTTTCAGGTTTGCAGACCTTCCTATGAAGTACACAATGTTTCTCTCCTTGTTGTGTAAGGTTTTTCTCACAGAGAAGTTCAGTGCCCTGAAACCTCTTCGAAGCCACAGCAGTGCCAACAGTGTCTGTGGATTCCTAACAGCAAGACACAGCAAAGTATTTTCTGAAAGGAGCCATTTCCCCTAGAGCAAAACACTTCATGCTTTTGCAGGGAGCCTTGTTAAGTTATAACAGCAAATGGGAAAGAGTGTTTCGGACATCATCCCTTTAGTTATTAGATGAACTTGTTTATTCAGTCACTCACCACTGCTCAATAAGAATTCTTCCACAAACCAGAACATCAGCAATCATCCCTGCCAGAAATAAGCATCATTCACATCGATGGCTAAAGATGAAGACATTGAAGACAGCAAGCAATCCTGGGCTAACTTCTTTCTGAAATGCTCACTTCCAGAGCACAAAGCCCGTAAAGCTGGAAGAGTGCTATGAAAGCACACCAGCACACTGAGCACAACCAGGGAGCATTTCTGTCAGCAGAGTGGCTAATTACAAAACGAGGAAGCTTGTTTGGATGCATCGTAAACAGCGATGCATTAACACAGTTTTCTACAGTTTCTATTCAGGTTATGTAAAGCACCTTTAGTTGGCGTGTGCTTACTTCAGGACTGAGTTACAGCCGAGGCTCTGCACCAAACTGACACACCAAGCAGTCACAATACAAACAATACTCCAAATCTTTTCCTCTCCACTTCAAAGTTTATCAAATGTGGTCTGAGCAGGGAATAATTCTCAACGTTACAGTCTCACATCGACTTATCCAAAAAGTGTTAAAAAAATACTCATATATATATATATATATATTTTTTTTTACCTCAGATTCAAAATATATTTTCAAGCACCTTCATGTCATTTGCAATGAAAACATGATAGTATTTTTCAGCCAATGGCTAAACTATGAAAACGCTTCTCATCTGGAAACAACAGTATATCAACTCAGCAAGAGAATGGGCAGAAGGTAAAGGGACTGCATGGAAGCAGGCGTGCTGGATGAGATCTGCCTTGCTAGTTCTGAGACTTCAACAACCACTTTGGCATGGACACCTCAGGAAGACATCCAAGATCACAGTATGGCACCAGCAGCTCTCCAGCAAGGAACAAAGCAGAATACATAACAAGAATACAGTTGATCTGGGAGCATTTTGGCTGCTGTAGTAGTAGGTTCACTTCACAAATTAATTTATCTGCAGAGGAACACAGGAGGTAGCCTTGAACTGCATCTGCTTGCTAACTAAGAGTCCTATAAAAACACCTTTTGTAGTGATTTGGCCAAGCCATTACATTCATATTAACACTTCAAGCAAAAAACAACACAAGAAAAGCAACTGAAGCATAAAACTGATTGCGCACCACGCGCACACTGCAAACCCCATCTCCATCAGACTGAGGGCATCTTTGGAGGGATGCACCCTTCCAGTCACTGGAGACAAAACTTGCTGTTCTGCATCCCAGCATAGTAACTTCCACCCCAATGCCCCACGATTCCACTAATTCTGCCACAGAGGTTGGTTCTTCTCAACACAAGGCAGGAATCAAATGCTGAAAGAAGCCAGGAAACACGTGAGAAAGCAACTGTGCCCTTGGATTCATACCAGAATGCAAACCAAGTACAACAACACTGAAAAACCAAAGCTCTTATCTCAATACTGTAGAATATGAGAGTATTCCTACAATGGAAGTACAAGGACTGAGATCCACAGCATTTCAATATCTGCTATACAGAGCACTATTTACAGTATTTTTAAACAGCTACAGCAGATGCCAAAAACGTCTTACAGTAAAAAGAGAGATTAAAAACAATCAGTGCAATTGCCTCCTACTTAAAGTTTTCCTTAGAAAAGACTGCAAGAGTGCAACAAGAAGCCCATTGCCAAATGTAATATAAAGGTAAAAAAATGTATTGTTCTGTATTAGAAATTGAGCAAGCACACGGGTCAGGACAAACACACACACACACACAAAGAGGTTACTGAAAGAGAAAAGTATTAAAGCAAATAGGAAAAGTTAATTTATTTCACTGGAATCAAGTGTGACTAACAGAACTTTTTTACATTCCTTTTTTCTATGTAAAATATATCTGTGCCACCATAAATTCTTATGGGGTGACACCAAGATGGCCCCACTCACACCTGCTCTTCCAGCACACTGGTATGAAAAAGACTGGGGTTTGTTGGAGAGATGCACGTGACCATTTATTGCTGCAGTAAGGAAATAGTGTTGGCAGCAGTGTGCAAAGCACTCCGTGTCCCAGTCTGCTTTCAATACAAAGTCTCTTTGCACAAGCACACGTGACTTCTGATAAAGCTTCAAAAGCATCTTAACAAGGAACTTCCATCTTTTCATAAGGCTACCTGGGCACTGAAAAACCTCCACAGTTATTTCAAATCCTTGTGACAGACCTAAACATGAGGAAATTGACCAAAACTTCTGCAACATGGAAGATCAACGACTGCAACTCAGCAATCCAAATTTTATAGTTGGAGCACTCTAACTTGAACCAAGTCCGAAGAAGGAGTTCTAATATACAGAAGTGACCTTACATCAGTGCATACAGATGAGAAGTGTTAGCGTTGCATACAGCTATCTGAAATGCCAAAATCACGTAAGGCAGAGACAAATTCACCTGCCTCCAACGTTTCACATTAAGATATTTCCTCCTAAGCACTGACTCAACTCTATTTCCCAGGTGGTACAAGATGCAGGGTAGATGTTCCATATTGAGCCACTGGAGCAGAAATTTCTAAAAATAAGCAATACTGTATTACATCCAGAACATGAGAAAAGACAGCTTTATATTTTATCTTTGTTAATATGGGCATTGTCACAGAACCCTGTGCTCTGAGAGGGCTCTTTGGAGATGCCCAACCCCACACCTGGCCAAGTCTGAGCCTCTCCAAGGACAGAGATTTCACAACCTATTTCAGTACTGGAGTATTTTTGTTCCTATAGTGTTATTATTTCAGTACAAACTCCAGAAGACTAATCCATAGCAACTCATTAATGCTCGTCCATCTCTCAAGCACAGTCTTTTAAAGGTGAGCTGCTCTGAAACCAAAGAAATGCTGCAGTACTGGCATCAGTTTGTCCGTAACGGTGCTCCTGCCTGCAATGGGAATGAGATATTTTTGTCACCAGGGTGCAATCAGTATCAACTTTCAGACTGCTAAGCACACGACAGCTTGCACCAACAGCTGAATTCAGGCAGAAGGTCACTGCCAGGAAAATAACAGAGAGCACAAGGAATGCAATGGAAGAGGTCCTGCCCAGTGCTCTTTTGCACTGCCGTCTCCTTTGCACGGCTCAAAACACAACTGCAAAAGGGTAAAACGTGTTTGGTTACTGCTGGCCTGAGCTGCAGTGACTCAGTGGTTATAACTGCCAACCCCAGCTACAACTTCGACAGCAGGAATGCATGCGAGGCAGAGACACCTTGAGCTTTGTGTTTACCTGAGATAGTGCTGTTCTGACAAAACACATGGGAGGTAAGCAAATAATACCAACAGGAAGGTTGGAGGTGTTCGGCCGTTCCCCCCGAACCTCTTCTTCTTCTTTTTGGACAGGAAATACTTGGAACTTCAGGAATGCTGCCAGAAAGATAGCTTCTGGGTTTACAGCACACTGCACTTTTCTACATGTGTACCTTCATCAATGTTGTTTTAGAAAAAGGCTTCAAACTATTTGATTATTCACCAGTTGGGGGAAAAGGGGCAGCAAGGGAAAGGAGGGAGAAATCAAGCTGCAGAATCAGCAGTAAGAGAGGATGAAAAAATCAGTGAAAGGCAGAAACGCCTCCAGCCTGAAATGCATGTAACCATCCCAAGTTCTTCACACTCAGGGAAGGAAAACTACACAGAAATCTCTGTTCATTCCAAGAGGACCCACAGATGACGGCTACTCTCAGATCAAGAGTGCACAGCTACTATGCCAGCCCAAAGAATGCATCCACCAGAGGGTGCAGGGAGTGCCGTGACCTGCTTCAGAAATAAGATTTGGGGTCAAGACAGCTTGTCTGTCCTCCTCACCCCATCTGTCCATCTGCACCGAGTCAGTTATGCCAGAACTGCACAGAGAGGGAAAAGGAGGACGAAATTCACATCCAAGAGGTCTCCGCGTAACAAGCAGCAAATAACATAACTGGAGTTTTAAAATGCTTGATCTTCCTTGTATTTGTTGAGAGTAATTCATATAAAAATAAATTCACTTATAAAACTCTGCCGAATTGAAATCTGAAACGCACGAAGCAAACACACAGAAGTGCAATGTGTCAAGTGTGAAAAAGCTTCTGCAGGTGAGCAGTACGTGTAAGGGAGGCACATACAGCCTGGCTGCTGGAAAACGTGAAGACAGGCAACGCGACGTGGAGTTTGCTTTCTGTTACACTGTCTATCATTTAAAAGCTAGATTCACATCACGAGACAAAGGTCTGACCTGGCAGGCTAACCAACAAACGAGAACAACGCAAACATCTGCTAGCAGGACTGCCATCGTTGTTTCACCTGAACGACACCAACACGCTGCTACAAGGTGATGCTTGGAATCTGCACTGAGTTACGTACCTAAAACTCTGAATGCAGCAAAGGCTGGGCACTTCCTAGCTTACTGAGCAAGCAGCCAGCTACGGGCTCCCTGCTGCATGGCACACACCTCTGCCTTGCTTAAAGCTCCTGGCCCAGCTCAGCAGCTAGAGGTATATGGACTCAGAACAGTGACTGAGCATCTGCTAAGAGAAAAGGGAAAAGACAAAGCAAAATGGAAGAGAACATCTTTAAAATACACGTTGAGAGGGTGGATTTTAAGTTTTCCTACGAAAATAAACAAAAACAAGTCGGCATAAACACATTTCCTGGGCTTTTTCCTTTTTCTTCTACACCTGCTTGTGGCATCATCATTAGTGCAATGGTTTTCATATGTACTATGGTTTTTAATGAACCCAGTGTGCAAACTAACAGAAGTGTTTGTCTAATAACTACCAGTTAATTAATGCTTCTCCTAGGAGAATGGCCAAACTCTCACGTTTACTCTTATGCATAACGAAGGTTTCACCTCCCTTCCTAAGTAAACTTCAGTTTCCTAAGATTTACCTTTACTGCATAGATTCTCTGACTTCTGTCCACGTGACAAACATCAAACCACCTCCCCCTCTTAGAGCTCCAGCTTCCCCAATAATCAACACATAAATAAAATACAATTGCTTGTGCTTGGATGGATGCAGAACGTTGGTCTCGTGTGCGTCTTTGACTGCACAGGTAAATCCTGCTACGCTGTGTGTACGCTTTGAAAAGCCCTTCTCCACAGGACTGCTACACAGCGTCCTCTGTACGCAGCTCTCAACTCTCGCATCGAAGTCAATTGCATATTTCTGCTTTTGAATAGTAATGTCCTCACGATAAGGTTTTAATTTCTAAATCCAAAGCATTCTTGATATGTTAACAGAAGTATAATGAGCACTCCTTAGTAAATAAAAATAAATAATAGCATCTAGTCTATCACATTAATACTGTGAAACACATATAAAATTTACATTAATTCAAACATAACAGTGAAAGAGGATTGTACTGTATTTATCACCACAGACCCGTATTCCTTAGAGACTTTGGAGAGTGTCACAGTCCTGTATGACAAATTCTAAAGTTAGCTGTCAGTATGATTTAAAAAAAAAACAAAAAAACAACAACCTTAAATTCTTTTTCTTTTCTTAAAAATGGCACCTCTTCTTCTGCCAATCTGACTGCGCCTATTAAAAGTTCAGGTACAAGTTCATTCATTCTGCTTTAAAATTCTTCTTTAGTCTATGAAAAACATTTTTAAATGCAGCACAATAAAAAACATTCAAGAACAAGCTTCAGAAAATACATTTGCCCTTAGACACGCAGAGAAAAAATCTTTGTAAGACAGCTGGAAAGCAGGATTTTGTCATTCTTTTCTTTTGAAAATAAAATTTTTGGAAATGCATCTAGAATGAAACCAAGGCTTCATGAATAGTCAAAAAATGCTCTGCTTTCCTTTGTATTAAAAGCTAATTCACAGCATTTTAGCCCATTAACTTTAGTACGAATTAGATCTCTCCAAATTATTAAAAGCAATTAAATGAATAGCAAACAATGAAGAGTTTTGTGTTTTGTTTTTTTCCCCTAAGCCCTGAGATCACAGCTCTTGATTTAATTATAAAACATGGGTCTGTTTTATAACAGGCAGCTTAAGAGATTTTGGCAAACCACATTTCCAACAATCGTGGGGCTTTGTAGAAGAATGCAGTTCATAACCAAGTCTGAAATTCTGGACGGAAGGCTTTCTTGCAAAAAGGGGGGAAAAATAAAAATGAAGATACATCACTCATTGCTGGCTGTCACTGGAGCTTGGGCAACTGTTGGTCTAAGTGCAGCTGGTCTCACGTGAATCCAACTCAGTGCTGTACTGAGTCACTGAACATTGAAAGATGTCAAGCAAAGTACATCGTGCGCAACGTGTCCTGGTGAACCTGAACTGCTTTTGCAAGTGCTTGATGATCTCTGCCATTACTCTGACCCGAAGTGTGGCTGCCTTCAGCACTGAAAGAGAAGGGGGGGGAAAGAAACCATATTTATTCTGCCCCTCCTTTCAAGTAAGATTTTCATACCATTCCTTTCTTCTGAATAGAATGGTCAAAAGTTCACAGACCCATAGAATGGCCAGGGTTGGAAGGTACCTCAAGGATCATGAAGCTCCAACCCCCTGCCACATGCAGGATCACCAACCTCCCCATTTAATACTAGACCAGGCTGCCCATGAACACCTCAATCTGGCCTTGAACACCTGCAGGGATGGGGCATCCACAGCCACTCTAGGCAGCCTGTTCCAGCACCTCTCCACTCTCAATCTGTAAAGAACTTCTTCCTGACATCCAATCTAAATCTTCCCTCCATCAACTTAAAACCGTTTCCCCCTGTCCTGCAGTTATCAACCCTTTCAAAGCGTTGATTCCCCTCCTGTCTGTAGGCTCCCTTTAGGTACTGAAAGGCTGCAATGAGGTCACCCTGCAGCCTTCCTTTCTCCAGGCTGAACAAGCCCAGCTCCCTCAGCCTCTCTTTGTAGGGGAGGTGCTCCAGACCCCCGATCACCTTTGTGGCTCTCCTCTGGACCCTCTCCAACAGCCCTTTGTCTTTTCTGTACTAAGATAATTCCTCTTAAAACATTACTGAAGTTCAGAAATGGAACAACAGCAAAGAAGGATACATGAACACAACACCTCTTTCTCCTCTCTCCCCACCCAAGGCCACTCCCTGCATGTATTTCACTGGAGAAAAAAAAAAAACAATCAATCTGCCCTCCAATTGCTAACCAAGGATGCTGCTGAACCCAGAAGCCCTGTCAAATTCTACAGTAATCCAAAGCCATGCAACTCACCTGTCATGTTCTTTATCCACCAGATGATACCTGGCTCTGAAGGCAACCAGGTGTGCGTAATATGCTGGTGCAGGGATGGAAACTGAACGAGTACAGCGTACGTACGTATGACACAGCTGGTAGGTAAGAATCTGCAGCTCATCTGAAGAGAAACGATTGTCATCCCAGAGGACGTGGTAATGTGAAGGTCTGCTTGTTCCCTGAAGGCAGATCACATACTCAACGTCAAAAACAACTCCTTACATTTCCACCTCTGAGGGTGAACTGCCACAGAACTGCCTGCTTCCCCAAAGTTACGTGGGAGCAATTCAACACAGTAAACTGAAAGCACAGCGCGTGCTTCCTGTCTGCCAGGTTCATTTCTTTTAGATGTTAGCAGTACAGAACAAAGCAGAAACACAGAGGCTGTATGATTTGTCTCCTGTGCAAACACCACCAGGAATTACCAACAGCCAATGCTATGTCTGAAAGTTCCCACCCCGTGCAAAATGCTGTACCTGAATACCAGCGTGACTACACAGGTAGAAGTCAAACTCCGATGGATGGGTGATTTTTGTGTCCACTGTGGTACCAGCTGGAATGTTCCCGCTTTTTCCAACCTGTGTGAATGGTATGTACAGATTCATTAATGCACATAAACTTCTTTCTTTTCCAGCTGTATAGTAAAGGCAAGAAACATTTTTAAGGAATCTGTAAAAAGCAGGAAGTCCAGAAGGGACAACTGAAACTAAAATTTGAAGTGTCTCTATTATTGAGAGGAAAAAAAAGAAAGAAAAGAGATGAGCTGCAAAATCTTCCCTGAGGTTATCTATCATAATGAGCTTTTCTGATTAACGCAGGAAGAGCTTCCCACAACTGATCTGTCAAACACCTTTTGCCTTCCCATTTTGTGACAGAATTAAGGACAGAATCCCCCTTAATCTGTCTTGTTTATACCCACAGAGGACAATCTGTGGTTGGAAGCTGAACTTAGAAATACCTTTTACCTTAAAACAATTTTAACCGCGTTCTCAAAATACAAAATCACCTTCATGTCAGCATTAACAGTAAATAACGCCCTCAATTGCAGCAGGCTTCGAATGCTCGCATACAGATTCCCAGCAGCAGGAAAAAGAACTGAAGGAAAATGCTGCATTTGAACAGAGGTTTGCAGTTGGGAACTCTTCATTTCCAGCAATGACACCATCCTTGCCCTGGGGAATCTCCTCCCCACCGGAAAGGGCAAAACACTTCCACATGTACTTCACAAGAGACACAATGGTGACTGCAATGCATTCATAAAACCATCTGAGATGTTCACAGATACAAAATCACATGTTGTCTCAATACTTCCAAATCAAATCACTGGTGTCCAAGACACATCTGCCTGCCTTACACACAGCATTAAGGAAAGAGTTCATCTCACCTAATAGTTTCTACTGTGCAGGTGTCTTTATCACAGCCAGCTACCCAAAAGTCACTGTACATCGAACAGGAATCAAAACCCACAGACACTCCCTCCTTTAGAACTGGATGAGGCATGCCTTAAGCACTGTTGGAAATACTGAACAGATCTCTCTGGGAATGCCTGGTCTATTTCATGTTCCTACCCTTTAAGCTCTATACTGCCACCCTAGCAATCCCTACATTTAAGTGTCTTGAGATAGTAAAAAACTGAAAAGAATGAAGAATTTGAGTAACATCAAGAAATTACAAGCAGACTTGTTGAACAAAATATCCTGTTGCTGTTTCATAAAAGCTTCTTGCTGGTTTATCATATGGGAAAGAAAAAGAACATTTTCCTTAACAGGCAGAAATATTTCACCCACTATGTTACACAGTTGTTACGCAGTTCTTCAATCATGACAAACGTTTCATATAGGGGAGCTTTTTCCTGTAGGGGAGCTACAGGAAAGAAAGGGCAGACTCTTCAGCAGGCCTGTGGTGACAGAACAACGGGAAATGGGTTCAAGCTTTAAGAGGGTAGACTTAGGTTGGATGTAAGGAAAAAGTCTTTTACAGTGAGGGTGGTGAGGCACTGGCACAGGTTGCAGAGAGGTGGTGGATGCCCCGTTCATGGAGACATTCAAGGCAAGGCTGGATCAGGCCCTGGGCAACATGACTGAGCTGTGGTGTCCCCATTCACTGCAGGGGATTGGGCTACATGGCCCTCAGAGGCCCCTTCCATAGAGCACATAAGCAATTTGGCTGTGATCTGGATATCTGCCAGTCACAACGCAAACGTACCCGCTCATTTTTATCTGTACAGAAGAGTCTGGTGTGATGTCTTTTCTGCACAACTATAAATGTAATTCCAGGCTGGTAATCCTTCTCTAGTTTAATACATGCTTCTCTGATAGCCAGCAATTCATGATGGAGAACCTGAATCATAAACATAAAGACATGTGATAAATACAAAACCAGCTTTCAGATTAATTCAGATATCATGCTCCCTCTTGCCCTGTCACTCACTTAGGAGATGTCAAAGCACGCACGATCAAACCTCAGATTCTTCACTTAATGAGAAGAAATTAGTTCACCAGCTCAGGCTAATAAGCTACATGTCAAAATCTTTTTAACTGCCAAATACAAAGTAACATGTAATTAGGGTGTTGAATATTCAACAGACTAATTATTTTTCAAGCTAGTAAAAGGAATCATCTCCAGAACTGTTCAAATGCATGCTATTTTCCAGCTCTCTGAAGTCACTTACAGTGCTACAGGGATCAACAAGAACTGAAAAAAAGCCGAGTGCAATGAACAAAAAGCAATTCTTTAGGATTTCTGCTAATTATATGAAAACATTTTCCCCACTTATCTTGGCTGGAATGCAAGAGATTGGTGGATGTTCATTTCTACATAAAAACCACATCTATCACCAGAAAACAACAGAATCCAAATGTCAAAAGGAAACGTAACCTGCTGAAACTGCCCCTCAGAAACTCCATCTCTGTAGAAAATGATACGAGTCGGTTTGAATCTGGTTGATTTGTAGAACTGAATCAGCAGCTCCCTGACCATGGCAGCCAAATCTTGGATGATTTCTTGGCGGTGCTGCTGGACCCGAACAGTGGCACAGTAGCGATTGGGATGAGCATCCATGCTTCCTACAACCTGTTGGAAAATAAAAATGCAGACCTTAATACCACAGCAAACGTGAAAGCAATTGCTTTGTCTATTTACTCAACAGTAGCACTAAGACCTTTATTATTAAATAAGGCAGAGCACCCTATATTTAAGACAATTACTGCACAGTTTCTGCCCAGGAACAGATCTGGAGGTTGGTGGCCCTGCTTGTGGCAGGGAGCTTGGAGCTTGATGACTCTTCCAACCCAAGCCACTCTATGCTTCTATGATCAGGACGCTCAAACCACAACTGAAGCAGACACATTCCTGTTTAGCTAAATTCTTAATATTTTTAACTGCTGAAAAAGCAGATTTCAGCATGCGCCAGCTTCTTACAGGTCGATAAATACCAGCTAATAGAAAAGCTCCTCAGTGTATTAGCATCTCAGGCATTTTACAACACAATACACACATTTACATAATTAGCAGCAGAGCAAGCTCTCCAAAGTTTCATTAGATTTTGCAGAAAAATAATTTAGAATGCTATAAATGGGCAATCAGAAGAAATGGGCCACGTAAGAACTTCGAGTAATAAAATGCTTCATAACTGAACAGTGGAGAAAGCAGGAGTTAACCACACAGTGTACTCACTGCAGCAATGGAGGGCTTTTTTCCATCTCCAGCTGGAGGATGGGTTACATCTGCACCAAGGAATATGACAGGCTGTTGGAATACTGGTGGTCTGTATGAAGACAAAGCTAATTTGTAAAAGCAGCAACCTTTACACTTCATAAAGTGCATCAGAAGTCAACTAAATAGCACATTCTGCTCTTGTCATGCATTAGTCTACAACCTGCAATGGATCAGACCGTTGCCTGCACTGTGACAGTACTCACACGTCACCATCAAACTTCTCATGCTGGATACAAAATGTTCAGACATATTTTTAAATGACTTCTCATTAAAAAGGAGCAAAAAAAGTTTGTTTTTTTAAAAACTTGAAGAATCACATCTTCCCTTACTTAGAACACAAATAAGGATGAGAAGCTGCTCCTTAAGTATCCAATACCATATGAGAAAAGTGAAGAACTGCACACATACACAAAAGGTTATAACTTTTTCTACAAATGAAAGTCAGCATCAGTAATTAAGTACAAAAAAACATGGTTATCATAGCTATTGATCTAGAAACAGAACTTTTAAGCTATATTTGCAAGTCAAATTAAACCTCCAAGATATTGGTCTCTTGCATCAAAATAGAGCACCAACACATTGCACTGGAAATGTTAAAATTCAACTTTATTCCTTAACAAAACAATGTTAAATGGGAGACTTCAGGGCACTGGAATTGTGAGTGTGGATTAGGAATGGTTATTATAGACAGACTCAACTGATTTCTGGCCTGCTCTCAAAAGGAATTTGAAGGTAATTCTAAGTGCAGCTGCTTGCAACCATCATGAAGCTCAACAAATCAAAGGCTCTTCTACCCAACAACCAACAAAATGATCCAAGCATTCCATTTAAAAAAAAACCAAAAACGGGCTCCTCTGAAGCCTTTAGGCATTGTGTGCAGTTGTGCTGTTTCTCCTCTCCCTCTTTACTTAACTCCATTTTCAGGAACATACAGTTTATTGAGTAAAGCTGAGTACACTTTCAGTGTAAGGGAATTTATCGAGACACATGAAATCTATCTCCCCTCTGATGATGTGCTTCCCTGCTGCCAAGTACTTCTGGGATTATTTCTGAGCAGCTGCCATCTGACTAACCTAAACATGGTGAAGTGAAAACTTGCTTATCTGTGCAAAGCAGAGTGTTTACTTCTCTGAAATGGGATCCTAAGAATGATGCAGCAGGTTACTCCATAGGCTCTCAAGAACCCAAAATGCAAGGATTGTAAAAAGTGCTGTGTTTTCACTCTAGCAGAAACCTAACACTACACTTTGATTAAAGTAAGTGCAGTCAGAGTGTATGTGCACGTATATTCACTGGAACACTATTAGGAAACTGTAAGGGAAATCCTGGCAATCAGTTAGTTTTCTGCTCCCAATTTCCATTGCTTTTGATGTCTACTGAAACTGAGATGTACACCAAGACAAACAATCCTGAACACAAATTATAAAGGAGAGGACACTACTTCGAAAGATGTTTTCTATTTGTTTGGAAACTGAAAGCAAAAAGACTTTTTTCACTCAAATGAAAGCATACAGTTTCAATGGGCAGACTGCAGTACAAACCTGTCTTAGAACCAATTTCAACTGGAACAAGCATTCCACTACATTCTTTGTAACCCAGTTTTTGCAGGACTGCATTAGAAGCCAGAAGACAGCCTGACTAAAGATCACTTAGACTACAGTGCTATTGACTGTAGGGGAAAAAAAAGTTCTGTGATGCATATTCCCTTTACAATACAACACTCTTCACCTCCATAAAAGATGGCTTACCTCCCCTGTGGCAGTAAAATATTATTTACACCTCCTAACTTGACGTTTATTTTTAAGCAGAGGTTAGACAGAGTCTGAGGTGTTGTTCTCTGCACATTCTTCATCTGAACACACTGCGTAGCCATTCCCAGCACTGTGTCACCAACACGCTTCACCTCCGCTGCAGGACAGAAAAGACACACAGATACTTCTGTAGTACAGATCAGTGCGCCAGATGTTGGTTTGTTGACACCTAGAGTTTCAGCACTCATTTCAGTGAAGAGGAAATAAGAGCAAACCTACCTCCCTGACCCAACCCCGCTCTCTAAACATCCTCCTCCTGTCCTGCTTCCATCTGCTGACAACACAGCGCCTGGGTCCTAAATGTAACCAAAGGCACTGGTGGCTCATTTGAACTTTCTTCTTAAACTACACTACTTGTGTCAGAATTACAGTGTGCCTCCATAATTGTGGAAAAATCTTCGGCAAAAGAAGTCAGGTAATATGGATAATATCAGGACGACGAGCAGTTCTTTCATTATTCAACTCTGGACTAGTAACTCAAAAATAGTATTAATGTGCCAGCATTCAGCCAACCATGAACATTACATCCCTCTAGTTTATCAGCTCATTAGCTTTAACCCTGACTTGCACAAAAAAAGACTTTCTGAGGAGAGCGAAAAGGAGGAGACAAGGCCATGTGCATAGGAAATGCAGGAGTATGGAAGAACACTGGGAGAAGGATGATGATTAGAGGAACACAGAGAACCATAACTAAAGATGATTATAAGGAGAGTAGATGGGAATGATACCACATCCTCTCAGTGGTTAGAAAGAAGAAAGCATCCCCTCTAAATGTGGAGCAGGAACAGTGCAAGATGTCATTTTGCACTGCAGCTCTACTGACCAAATTAGAGACAAGCAAGTTTATGTGGAAGGTTGAAAACAAAAAAGAAAAAAGCATTCTTTAGTTGCAGCTTCTTTTTTCATCTCTCTTACTTTTGACTTTATATCAGATAACCTTTGGAAAAGTAAGAATCAGGAGCATATTTTCTGCTCTATTAAATTGGTGAATGTGAGGGATGGGATGGGGGAAGACAATTGTGCAGCTGCATGATACAGACGGGCTGTGATCAGAGCCCTCAAATCTATGGGAGAAGACAGAGGATGGTGGTTTATGGGGCTGCAATTAGGCAGGGTAAACTGTAAGAGGAGGAAGGCAGGACATGAAAAGGAGCAGTACAGGAAGATCTTAATAACAAGATGTGTGGTTTGTCTCAAAAATTAAAACCTATGTGTATGTGCTGTGTGAAATGCACCCAGTGATCAATCCTTTTCCAAGAGCTGCTGAGTTTTCACCCACAAAACTCCATGGGCAAAAGCTTTCTACTTCATTCAGCCTTCTGAAGAAGGCTGATGGCATGAATTAGCAAAGATGTCCTAAAAGCTAGGCAGTTTTTAAGCTCACTTCTTCTTTATTCACTCAGAACTTTTAGCATTACAGTAAATATATGTAGAACTGCAGTAAGTGTATTTTAATCAACCACAGAGCAGTTCAATCAATTTCTCAAAAGCTCTGATTTTAGCTTTTCTGCTGACAAAACGTGTATCAAATAAACCCAACAGGAAGAGCAAGTTAAAAGCACAGCCAAACATAATGAAACGAATTAAGGTATTAATATAAAACATCATGCAGCAAAAGAAAAGCAGCAAATTTAATCTGCAGTCAATTAGACTTCCATCATTCAGACAACTCAGAAAAAAATGCCAGAAACTGTGATTAAAACACAAGCTCATGATTTGGCACTCACTGACCATAGACTGGTGTTTTTCCTGGTAAAATTACTACAACGAGCTGCAGACCGGTGTAGGTGTTCTTGAGATGCCTGAACATGGGCTCCACGCTGTCAGCTCCCTGGGCATATTTACAAAAGCATGGCTGCCCTTGGATTGGCATTCCTGCATCTCTGGAAATCTTCCTCAGTTGCTCTGTGAAAGTCCTAAAGGATTGAAACACACAGTAGGATGTAAAAGGTTGTGTTTCCACTGTTTTCTCACCAGTTGTTAGGGAAACATTCCCGAGCTGTTTGGCAAATCATCTAAACCAACATCCTTATGGATCACTGCAATGAATAATGATGAACCTGCATTCACCTGACACAGAACAGCTGAGTCACCAGCAAGGGCAGCTAAACACAGCACTTGCCCATACATGAAGGGAAAGAAACTGTGCAAAAGAATTAGGGAAATCCAGCTACACGGGCACGCACACTTCCCATGGCCCAAGGACGGCAGATACCACTTTTAACAATAACCTTCCATTTGTTTGTGACAAAAAAACAGAAAATCTGAAAGCTTCCTTTAAATGTTCCAAGTGAACAAAACAAGCGGCTCTACTGATCCTGCAAGCGTACCATGGTATGCACTGCTGTGCCTCCAGGCCTGGGCAAAGTTGGAGACAAAAGCTGGATTACTTGTTAAAATATGCTTTAGTACGCAAACATTCTAATAGTACACAAATTATTCCCTGCCATATAACCAGGTTATAACATACAAGTTAGCTTTAAGTCTTGACAAACATTCAGTGATGAATACTCTACATTAATCACTTTGACCACCTTAAACTCAATCCCAAGCCCTCACTGTGGTAGGAGCTTTGCCCTGCATTATGTGTTGGTTCTGGCAAGTCTAATTTTGAGGATTTCATTATGCTATATGCTGCCTAATTCAAAAGAGCATCAAAAGCGGCGTTAAAGATATACTGCCATATTTAGAACACATATTTTGTTTGACATAAGTCTATTTCCATACATAATAAGTAATAAAATTATCACCTTATGCAATACACTTACTTAAGATGCACCTCAGTGCATTGGCGCTGGGGAGCAAAGCATGCAATTGCCCAAACCTTTATTTCAATTCCAGTGTGAAACTGTTTATTCCTCATGTCCCAAACTCCTTGAACTGGTGTAGCAATTGCTTTATTCTGGGTGTGGAAAGAAAAAAAAAACCAAACATTAAATCAGAAAATGATTCATACTAAGAAAAGCCATTTATGCTTCCCTCCAACTAGTAAGCTATTTAATTATCTGAGCTCTTTCTCTACTGCTCAATCATCCATCTTATCTTAGAAAGATCATCCTATCACTGCAACAAGGCAATCTGCTAGTCTGGTGAAAAGTAAAGCTTCTTAAGAAAAATAACTGTAGGAAGCAGGCAATGTTTATTTTTGATGATTTTCTTTGGTAATATAAATTAAGAGCAAACAGAAATTATGCATGGGTTGAGTCAAAGATTCATGGTCAGAATGTAATGTTAACAGGAATACACATTTCTACAGTGACTTTACAACTGCACAGTGAACTCTCCACGTGTCACTTAATTCAAGTGCTACCAATATTTCACACACCAGTAAGCAGAGGCAAATGCTGGTTGGGTGCCACTCACACGATTGCAGAGAAGACCCACGAGATGACAAAAGGAGACCAGGTACTGAACTTTGACATGCACAATCCTTTTACTCCCACCAAGTGGATGTTATTGTGATGCACTGGTAGAACTATCGTCAGCTGGCAATGCATGATGTAGAAGTTCATGAGAAGCCTCCATGAATTAAGTCATGCCAGACATGGAGGCTTTGATCTTGTATCAACAAGACAGGCTATGTAACTGATAAAGATGCTACAAGCTTTTTGTTTGCAAGGCACCACAGTAAGACGACTAAGTCAGGCAGAAGCCATCTGAAAAGTCACTGTAAAGAAAAACCTGCCAACCTGCCTTCTACAGGAAGAGGCAGTTTTGAGACTAACGTGCTAACAGAGATAATGCCCTCAAATAGTTGTCCTAAACAGAGCTGCTCCACCCAGAGCACTCAAAATCAGAAGTTTCAGAAGATTTCAGAGTTGAAATAAGCAACATCTCCCAGGAAAGTTTATATAAATGCATTTTACCTTAGCTTTATCTACAGAAATAAAGAAGCAACTGAGAAATAAAGAATTATCAACAATGTGGCCACGAAACATAAGGACCTCTAGCAATAATACTAAACATTAAACACTACACCTATGATGACTGTAACCTCATTGCATTCAGCATCATTCTTTCACACACAGCAATCCGAAGTTACCACAGCTGGTAATCAAAGCAGTCACATTTTGCTGTGCCTCAACATACCCTGCCTCCATAGAGGATTGAGGGAGGCTGTAGGACTCTACCAGTCACATCTGTCATTTCGTCCTTCACCATTATCCCAAATTCACGAACGTAAGGGTCAGTGTTAAAACTCGCGCTCCGCATCTGAAATCCAAACAAATGAGTTACTGTTTGCAGAAAAAGGGAACTTCTCTCCATTCAAATCTCAGCTTTTCTGAAATAACCGTATTTGGGCAACAACCTGTTGGTAGTGCACAAACTCCTCAGAACCTGCTAACAGGAACAGAAAGAAAATCTCCTACCCTTGGCTCACATCGAGGGAACACTTACCAATTTGCTGATCTCTTCCTGACGGTCAGGTGCTGATCTGGCAGTTGCTCGAATCATAGTGGAAGTTTGATTGTCGGTGAGTTTTTTGATGCATCTTTGTCCTGCCACTATGTTGCACACCTACAAGATCCCCAACACGAAGTTAAAAAGAATGAAACCAACACAACTTTGACTTCTCCCCACCTCAACTGCTTTACACAGTTTCTCGAGCTGACTTCTCACCAAACAGTTTGTCAACAGCTTAGCTTTTTTTCCATCCTGACCACATCCCCAGAGTACAGTATTATTTCAAAGCTTACTGACCTCAAGAGGAAGGTAGGTGTGCTTCTGCTCCTGCCCAACTTGTAAACATGGAAGGTGAGGATAGCGTAAAACTAATTTGTGCCTGTCCTTAAAATACTGAGCTACAGTGCATTCAACTGTTTGTCCATTCTCCTGCTGAAGTGGGAATCTAGGGGAAATCAAACATGAAAATGAGCCATTAATTTATGTAAAATGTTTTGCCACATTTCTTCAATTCACTTCTTAGCGCATTCTAAGTTTGCTGGAGGTTAAACCCATCTTGTTTAAATGATGCATGTTTATTTCTGTAATCGTAAGTACATCATTACCACTACCACAGGTCATTAAAGAATACCCCAGAAGGCATTCCTCTAACTCGATACCTAAAGCTACCAATTACATTTTCTAAGAGTGAGTGCCTTAGAGGCAAAGACTCATGTCTAACGTCTTAAGTATCTGTGATACCTGCAGAACTCATGAAATGTCACGCACAGAAAATTGTGAGCTTATTGTGAGGCACACAAACCCAACAAGCATTTCAGAAATGCATTTCTCTGTACATTACAAATACATTTCCATATATGCATAAGTATTCGCATATGTTTATACCAAGTTGGCACAAATGGTCTTTTTGTTAATAAAATGCATCACTTGAAGGAATAGGAAATTAAGCCTAACCAATTACATAACATACTGAGATACTGATGAGTTATTTCATCATGCAACCTGTTATCAGAGCTGTTTCTCATACTGCTCTCTTAGAACAAGGTAAACTACCTGCTTACTTGAGGCTACCCACAAAACCCTCATTGGTGATAAAAAGTTTTGTTGGTTATAAAGATTTTTTTCCAGGGAAAAACAGAATGGCAATAGGCAAGATTAAGAGTCTGATCCCAACTGCTACCACTTCACTGCTCAGCAGTTCTGGGGAACTATGCTACCAACAAGGTGTCCTGTTCTTCTAGTGTTGAAGAAATCCAGAAAGCAAAATGAAAGAAAAGTGCACATCTTAAAGGGAAAGGAGTGGCTGAAATGCCATTAAGTGCCTTAAAGAATAGACACAGAACAAAAGAAACAACAAAACTGGGGATAGTTGGAGTTATATTTTAAATTTACTGACCAAAGTACCATTTTGCAAGACAGCTTTTTTCCTGGCTCCCTAACGAAGTCATGACATTCTTCAAGCATAAAATTAAACACACACATAAGAAGTAGCAAAATAGTTTACGTTTGGTGACTTGCTGGTCGTCTGGTGACATTGCACACTCTGTACTTTCTTTTCATTTGTCCACAGTGTGTTATCTCCACCTTTAGACCTAGAAGTGAAAAAGCATTTATCACCATTTCTTCAAAATCAAACTGCCAGTGCCCATAAAACTCTACAAGACTACTTAGACTGTGTAATAAAGCTAATGAGTATTTAGTGTGTTCTCAGGGAATTGAAGACTATTAAAAAAACTTAGAACTTCAAAATAAACAAAACAAAACAACAATACTGATTCAACCAAAATTAAGCAAAGAACTTCAGAAACAAGGCAAAATCTTAAAGCCATTAGAGCTGAAAAAGCTGGACGTATTCAATTAATTCTCTCTCTCTCTACTGAAGTCAGGGATGGTGGAAGGAGAAAAAGGGCATGGAATAAAAACCGTGTTTAAATTTTATGTCTAAACATGCAGTGTCTGTGAGACCTCCAGGCAGCACAACAAACCCTGGGAATGAGGCAGCTGGGCCTCACTGTTAGTGAAGACAAACATCTGCTGCAATCCCCACCTGCACAAAAACGGAGCCTACCTGAAACCCGACAGCTTTCAGAGAGAAGCTGACCATAAAAGTCAAACTCCCCACCTAAAGAATAATTTTTCCACCTGAGATCAGCACAGCACAGCTACATGAACAGAAGTACTTCAGAATACCACTAACCTCAGACATGAGCTTGAATACAGAACTTTCATTTGTGTTGCTTTTGTGTTCAGACAGAAACAGGTGAGGGATGACTGTTACATTTAGGATGTTGAATGTGTGGGAATAGAAAAGAGGGGGCTGTAAATTAAGATTCCATATCTATCTGCACATGGGCATAAGCTCATATTGCTGCCAAGTAACACGGCATTATTTATGGTGTCTGTCAAAGGTGCTAATAACTTGCTGAGCACACTGATCTTCCCACCTAATTTTTCACGGCTTAAGTGCCTCTACTACTAAGCCACCAATAAATATCAAGTTTTCACAAGTATTTCTAAAGTCTGCAGCACAATATTTTCAATAAAATGTTACCTCAGTTTACAATTAGCTTTGCTGCGAGCCTGCTGTAATTATTTCTTCTTGAAAACTCAAAATCCTTATGGAAAAAGGTGGCAATTCTGTTTCTCCAACAAGTACAATATCAGAATTTCTAATTTTCTTGAAGGCTTGTTGTTGGTCAAATACAAGTTTTCAAGATGATTCTGCAGACTTTTTGTGGAAGTAGCAATGATGGGAAGCTGCTTCAATACAAGACAGATTGCTGGAGTTCTTCTTTCACTTCCCTCTTTCTTAGCTAACATATCAGGAAGGAAGGTGTGTTGGCTCCAGATGGGATAGTTAATTTTCTCTAGTTGTCCCTTCCAACCCCTACAATTCTGTGCTTCTGTGAATCGCATCATGCAGCACTTGTTTCATGTGTTTAAATGCTTTTATCACAACTCAATACAAGTCTTACTTCTCCCCCCACCTCCAGTTCTCCCAAACATCCCACTCCACGAGGAGAGAGCCAATAGCTGGGTGTGCTTAGTGCCTGCCAAGCTAAACCACAACAGAAGGACCCTGACTTTCCAGAAGAAACGTTATGGGTAAGAGTTCAGTGAACACCACAAGGAGCTCAATTCTTTCCTACGAGTTTTGATTCATTCACTGCATCATTTGGTAACTGAATAAACTGTGGTGCTCAGGGACATGATTTAGCAAAGGGTTGTTAGAATTTGGTAGTATAGTTAGGTTGTGGTCTTTAAGGTCTTTTCCAACCTGAGCAATTCTAGGATTCCACGATTCTACGATAATAGACTTCCTGGAAGAGTACATGTACAAAGAAAATGTAAGTATGTAAAAACTACAGTACTGATTTATTAGAAAATTTGGATATGGAAATATTGCCATTATTAATTTCAAAGAAAATTAAGATAGGGTAATTAGAAATAACAAATGTAAAATCCCAATCTTGTCAAACAATTTAAAATCACTTGATTAGAAACAGGACCATCTTACAAAACTGGGATTGGCACTACTGACATGACGGAAGTGAAAAAAATGTTTTCTCATTTCTAATCGAAACTTGTATTTAGTGATGGAAGTACTTTCTGAAGAATGAACCATATTCAGTTCCTAAATACAAGATGGAAAAAACGACTGTCATTTAAGAAGATGAATTGTTTTTAAGGAGACTGACATAACAAGGGATGCTGCACTGAGATGCTCTCAGATGTCCACACGCACAAGTAACTTTGCCATGACACTTGATCAAATGATTAGGTGATGACAACACACAATGAAATGAAGGCTTGCAAGGATGAGAAGCTGTTATGTAAATCACAAGCCAGTAATTCATCTCAGGAAACCCATCTGCTAGGAAGTTTGAGTTTATCCCAACACTTAAGAAGAGAGCGAAACGTCATCTTCATGGATTCACTGCTGTCCTCTCATTAAGGACAGAGGTAACTGAAATTACCCTATTCAGCGATCGGGCTAAATGCACACATGTATAGTTATCACATGCTCAAGTGCTGATTTACTTATGTGTATATCTGAACTCAGAATGTGCCTCCTTCAAAAATAAATCATAGAATACCAGCAGTTGTAAGGATCCATAAGCATCACGGTGCTCAAGGACATGATTTAGCAGTGGGTTGTTAAGAGTTAGGGTAGTATGGTAAGGTTGAGGTTGGACTCAGTGATCTTGGAGGTCTTTTCCAACCTGAGCAATTCTATGATTCTATGATGATGGAGTCCAAAATCCATTCAATGAACATTTCATACTAGTGAATCAAGTCAGAAGCCACGTATTTATCTGAACTGACCTAACTTTGCTTACTGACAAACGAACTGTCAAAATCTTGAACTAAATGCCAATAATGTTTCTTGCCTTTATGTTTGTTCAAAAAAGTGTACGTTCACTGTCATAATTTGCTTCCCAAACAGTCAGCAGCTATAGGAAATCTTGTGAATATATGTTGGTAATACACCAGCAGACAGAAGAAAGCAGTTATATTTATTACCTTTTATTTCTTTGGTAAACTTTACCCTTTGGGAATCTGTCAGAGGTTTTTGTTGTTCTTCAATGCTTTTGAAATCCAAAACTTCACATACAAACTCAATAACTGGCTGTGCTTTGTAAAATGCAGTTGCCGATACTGTAGACAAAAACATTAAAATTGTATTACAGAAATACAGAGGAATAAGTTTTGAAATAAATACAGCTGAAGGTATTGAATTTTTCCCTCTCCGTTGAAAGACAGAGAGAAAAAAAAAAGAGAGAACTGTATAAAACCCACCATCAATGTTTAACATCATTTTCCATAAGGAAGGTCTGACTGATTGATGGAATCCAAACCACACCTCTCTGCCACCACCTAATGGATTTGAGCACCCTTCTGATGCTGTAAAAAAAGATCTCCCCACTGGAGTATATCTGAAACAGAAGGTAAATCCACATCATAAATTAAAGCCAAGGTAAAAAATATTTATACTAGTTATAACTTTATTGATGCCTATTCAAAAGCACAGAAACATCAGTGTTTCAAGCTATAAACAACACCATAAATAATAATCTCTCCCCTTATTTCTGCGTGGCTTACCCTGAAATCCATGGAAACACTGTTTTGCTAAACGACTCACCTAGCAAGCATTGCTGAAGCATCTTTCAACTGCATCAGAATGATTGCACTGGTAATTCAGTACTACACATTTAATATCAAACATCAAAACCAGTGCCAATATGTTTCTCTGAATACAAATGTGTGAATCATTTGTCTCAGCTGTTTTATTTACTGTAAAAGCTGACAGATTCTTTCCCTGAATATGAGGATAAAGTCAATGCAATATAAGGCTATTTAAATATATTTGCATAAACTTCTCCGTCCTTTAAAATGAGAAAGTTCAGCACAGAAATTTGCTCTTTATTTTCCAAGTGCATTTAATTTGAACAGTGGTCTTAAGCAAGTTGTTTCATGGCAGCAGATTTAAAGAAACATACTGTTTTGACTACAAATACCATGTATGTTGCTTGGGACAAAGCCACTTTAAAGCATTTTTCCTCTAAAAAACCTGTTGTACTAAGTGCCATTAATGTCTCTCTAGCCTGATAATACAGAAAATCAGCAATTAACACATGCTGAAGGAACACAGGAATAGGATAATTAACCTTTGAGCCATACTTAAGTACTATCTCCCAGTCCCCAGTTACTGCCAGCTCAGGGAGTTTCCTTCTCAAAAGGCTACAGATAGATGGAGTATGGCTGGGGTACCAGGGCACCCCTGCCCTGAGACCACACAAATGTAGAATGATTTTCAGTAATTTTCAGTGTGAAAAGTGACTTGTATCCAGCTTTGAGGCTTCTCATTTGATATCACATCATAGAATGACTTGGGTTGGAAGGGACCATAAAGCCCAGTTCCTACATCCCCATCCAACCTGGCCCTGAACACCTCCCAAGACAGAGCACCCACAGCTTCTCTGGGCAACCTGTTCTAGTGCCTCACCATCCTCTGAGTAAAGAATTTCCTCCTGACATTTAAACTAAATCTCCCCTCTCTTCATTTAAAACCATCATCTGATAAACAGAGAAGTGCCATGTTACCTCGCCTGGCTCCATGACCTATTAGGTAGCTGTTATTTGGTAGAGCTGTACAAGAACATCCAACCCAAAGTAGCTGCCCAAGTATTTCAGATAATAAAGCAAATTTCCTCAGCAATACCAGTGTCTTCTGCTCACCTCATGGAAGGCAAGTGCCTCATCACAACATCCAGTGCCTGGATGGTTTCAAACGGGACGCTCGGCAGCCGGCCAGAAAGAGCATCATGCAATGCCTGCAAACTCACACAGGACATCCACTTTATGGCCACCTTAAATATTCTGTCCTTCCCTTCCCCTGGCAACGTGACCTCCAACTCCACCTGCAACAATGACAAACAACAAACCAAGATGATTCTTTCTGTTTGGAGAGGAAAATGAGAGTGGACAACAAATTGCTCTGAATAATGCTGTGAAGCCTGGGAAAAGACATAGAGCAATGATGAAGAAACAGCAGATATCATGTACAGCCTGTCAACAGCTACATTATTCTACAGGTGTATTTCAGCTAACTGGTATGCTTCCCAGGCTGGCATTCTAATACTGATTTCTCATCTTTCTTAGAAGATAAGGTCTGAGGACAATTCTTAACCCAACTGGAAATTGGTTAAGTCTGATATCACAAAAACCTGTGGGAGTGACTATGAGAAAAAACATCCTCAGAACGTCCCTTGCGTTGGATGTAAACAAAAGCATTGCATTTTCCTGTCCTAGGGAGTGTTCTGCTTCAATTCAAAAGCAGACAAACTGTATTTAGAGTGCTACTGAAAACAATATATGGTAGCAGCAGGCTAATACATGCAGTCATCTGCCCTCCTGCAGCAGTTAGCTTCTTCAGTCAAAAAACAGGTAGCAAAGATAAAACAAATACAAGCAGCCTCTCCATAAGCCAGCAACCAAGTTGACAATTTATAGTGGACAATCCAAATTAATACTGCAGTCCTATCTTTCTCTTAGAACCAACATCATTCACCACAAGAGCTGCGCAGAGAAAGGAACCACATAGCCATGGGAGACCAATGGAAAGTGGAGTCTGGAACAGCAGGATCTGTAGATGGCCCAGCATGTTTATTCTGCCAAAAAGGCCATGCAAATGAAGGTGCAGGCTGTCAGCTGATGCTGGTTGGAATCTTCCTATAAAGCCTCTTTTTGCTTATTTGGCTTTTTTCTCCTCTTGGTCTCAACTTACAAAGCTCCTTAACCACGATGGTATGGAAAAAAGATAAAGAATGGATCTATTTGTGGTGCTGTATCCATATCCCTGATAAACACAGGACTGGAGAATCTCTATGATGATTACTGGACTGCAAGGCAACATCCGACCCACCCCCTGAACCCCACATCCAATTCATACCTTGAGCCTTAAGTTTTAAAGTAGATAATCCATAATGTGAAGTACTTTATTCATTTTTTGGTAATAACACCCTAACAGATAACGCAGATAGGCTCAGCTATCTTAGACAAATCTACCAGTTACCAGAGCAATATCTGGGCCATGCTACATTAAGCTTAGCTGTCACAAAGAATTCACAGTAATGAACTTGTTCCACTTTTAACTGTTGGCTTTAAAGCCTCTTCAAAACCAAATTAGTCACTGGTTCTGCTCAAACACATAGGTTTTAATCCAACTTTCCAGGCTGTCTTTTATATCTCACCTGAGTGAAACGCTACCGAAGAGCTGAAAAAAAAATCCTGAAGATACATCAGGAGACTGCTCGTATCTACATACCTTGACTGCGTCCACTACACTTTTTGTATAAGTAAAAATTGAGAAAATATTTTGTTTTAATACTTACATAGTCCATATTTGATCTGAAACGTCTAAAGAAATGAAGGAGTGACAGAATGAAAATTAGCTATGATAAGGAAGGAATTAAAACACGTATGATCAGTGGGAAGGGTGAGCAGAAAAAATGAAAATGTGTTTGTACAAGTTCAAACAGAAGCAGGTTATCAGCAAGCACAAAAAAAGGAAGAACAACTACACTGACAAGAGATGAAGACAGTGGATGTTAATTAAGTTAAAGAGCAACTGGAAAAAGGTGCTGACAAATTGGTTTCAGCCTCCTGATTAGCATCAGTTCTTCTACTACTGACGTATATTGCAAGTAAATGAAGTTTTTCTCCCACTTAGATTAAAGACCATCTATTAATCACTGTATGATCATGAATCTTTTCAATATGATCCCAAGTGCAGCAAAATTGCTATATTTGTTATGTACAGAGCAGCCAAAAAACCCCCAAGAAACCTAATCTAATTACTCTGGAGGAAAGTGTTAATACCTACAAGCTTTATAATGGTTTAAACCATGCTTAAACCAATTAAGCTCCATGTAAAAAGAAATTCCTTCATTCAGCTAAATTTCCCCACACTTGATTTAAACCAGTTGAGGTTTTTCTGTATTAGTTTTTTACTCCAGGGTAATAACTTCAGTTGCCTTGGCATACAGATATTAAAGTTCTGTATTTCTGTATTGGATGGGAAAAAGGAAAGAATCTGAAAGTTTATTAGAAGCAAGCCTAAGTGAGAGCCAGATACACAGATGAAATCACAGAATGGCCCAGGTTAGAAGGGACCTCAAGGATCATGAATCTCCAACCCCCCTGCCACATGCAGGGCCACCAACCTCCCCATTTAATACCAAACCAGGCTGCCCAGAGCCCTGTCCAGACCTTTGTGATGGCAGTAAGATCACGAGACCCTAAGAAAAGTGGAATCTAAAGGCAGCCGCATATTTACACGTAAAAAAAAAAAATAATAATAAAAAAGAACATACCAACCAATTTCTATCAGTTATTAGAAAGTGCAAATATTACACTGGGATCTACAATCAGAAACTCTTCTGAAGTTTTCTCTTTAAAACTTACTTTATCTCTTCCAATGGGAAGTGGCATAGCTGTATAAAGGTTTTTTCTTCCATCAAACACTGGCTTGCGATCCCCAAAAATCTGTGTTTTAAAGTGCTGAACCATATGCTCCACTATTTCTCTGAAAAATACAAAAAAGAGTGCATTAATTCAACTTCTTTACTTTTCATGTTACATAGCAAATGAACACTAATATTCATGAGTAGAAGCATTAGGAAAATTAAAAGGTTGTCTCCTGCCAGGCATTAAAGCTGACATCTGTTTGGTCTGAATTAGAGCAATCTTTTCACAGACTAAACCACGTTCTGAACGTGGCTGTTAGCATTTTCAGATGCCTTCCTGTCTGCTGTGATTTAACACACGTGGCAAACCAAAAGATTGTGCCACCTCATGGTCACAACAGAAGGCACGTGGTATTGTCTGGGTCTCCTGCTCCCCTACCCTACAGTACTTTCTGTATGGAGCCAAAGCTCAGCAGACTGAGCAGCTTTCCAAAATACGACTACCCAAGCTTTCAGCCTCAGCCTTCCCCCAGCACAACATTCCTGTGATGACAGTGATACATAAAATTTCTTTGTAGCTCTAAGACAGATTACTTAAGTGCAATTTTTTCCACAAAAGCAACAAAACTAGCATTCACAGAGATCCAAACGTATTAGAAATGCATATCATCCATTAAAGCACAGCTGGAAATGCGTGCTGTTTGTATGACTGATGTAACCAGTCCCAAAGCACTTGTCTAACCACAGTGCTTACACACTGGTCATACAAACCAGTCCACCAGCCAGGTAAGTGGCTTGTTGAAGTAACAGCACCCTTTGAAGGCAAAGGCCTTTAAGTCCAAATGTCCTAAACAGACATCCTTCAGGCTACATGCCTCATACAGCCGGAAATCTCAAATCCAGCAGTGGTTTGCAGTATGCTGCCTAGAACATAGTTAACATATATATGGCTTGGGGGCAAAACAGCCCAAAGAAGCAGAGCTGACACAGGAAGGAAAGCTACAGGATGCTGTTTCTTCTGTACCACTGCCAACTAGCTCAGTGAGGCTGCAGATGACTATTTTACTTACCATGATTTAGAAAGGTAATTAGCTGAATTAGATGCCATAGCAACATAAAACTCTGAGAACAAACTTCAAGCTCACTCAAGCGCTGTAGTGATTGAAGGCTGTTTGAGCTGACAATTTATTTGCTGTGTCCCAAAGCTTTAAGATTAGATAGGTTGCTTTTAATGATCCCATCCAAACTTCTGAGAAATATGAATGAAACTTGAGGTAGCAGCTTCTGCCTCTGGTCTGCAGCATCTGACTGAACAAGTCCCAGCTTCAAGGATAGAAGGGAGATATTTTTTACCCTTGTTTCAAGCAATGGAAAATCCATTCTCTTACTGAGCAAGATTTGATTGCAAATTGCTCTGCGCGAAAATGAAAGCTCCCATTTAATTAGCGTTTCCACACTTGGAACTCTGTTCAGTGATGGTGTTTCTCAGCTGTGCTTTGAGGCATTTCAATGAAAAGTGGAACTATTTTCCCCATTTGAAGTTAAAAGAAGAGTGATTTACTGGCATTCCAACTCCAGCCCTTGTGGACTACTGCACAGAGACAACACGTGCATGCAAGAACACAAGTGACCCCAGGTCACTTAGAGGGTGGTGATGCACTGGCACAGGTTGTCCAAGGAGGCTGTGGATGCCCCATCCCTGAAGGCATTTGAGGCCAGGCTGGATGTGGCTCTGGGCAACCTGGTCTGGTGGGTGGCGACCCTGCACATAGCAGGGGGGTTGAAACTGGATGATCATTGTGGTCCTTTTCAACCCAGGCCCATTCTGTGATTCTATGATGATGATTCCAGGTGGAGTTCATTTTGAGCCATGTACAAGTCCCAGCAACCCTCACAAATTAAACCAAGGACACTGACAGCACAAAACCAACCCCACACTGCCCATTCTCAACATCTACCAAAACATGCTCCTGCAACATGAGAAAAACTGACCCTAACAGTACAGTTTTGGCACAGCAGCCCACTGTCTCAGCTATGTGTCTTCCAGTCCTGCTCCAGCTCTTGTTTATGGTGTATCCAACTGTACAGTCCAAGCCATAGCTAGTCCAAAAATAAAAATGAAGAATGAAGCCAGCACAGATGAGGGAATAGTGTAAATGGAATTAAAAACTCAACCTTTTCCAGATGTTAAAACACAAAATAATGATAAAAGCTACTGATTGTAGGTATGTAGCTGAGTTATATAACCAAAACACTGGAAACTCTAACCTAGATGAACAAATGAATTTTAGCCCTGGACTGTATGTGCATCCTACAAAATCCTACATATGCATACATAAATATGTGCACAGACACAAGTATACATGCAGGACTGAAAGGCCAACAAAACGCCAGGCACTCACAAGGGCATGTACACCTAAAGGACAGCAAAAGCACCAGCAAGTGCTCAAAGAAGAAATGAAACATAAACTTCATTAAACGAATCCAATTTGTATTCTTCCCACACTGTACAGAGAAATGTGTACTGTTGAATGCATTCATTACACCCTTGCTTACTGCAAAAGGCACTGAACCATGCAGATTTATATCTGCTCTGATACCACAACACAAGGAACAGCTAACCTAACAAAAGAGATCAGGTCTGAAGCTGTCAGTGGGGCAACAACTCATTACAGAGTATAACCTGCTTTATCAGCCAGGAAAATTGCTTTACAATTACTTTATAATTACGTTCTCTACAATTCCTCAGAAACCGATTCCCCACCACTAAAGGTAGGGATGAGAGAAGGAAGCACACCGGACTACAGAGAGGAGATCACTGAGAACAGCAGCACACACCACAAACACGTACCAGCTGCACAGCACTGCACCATCCAGAGGGGCAAAGGAGCATAGAAATCTGCATCATACAGCAGCATGCATGCTGTCAGCACTGGAGCAGGAAGCCAGGATAATCAGTGATCGTGAAAGCAAAGCTCTCGTGGCTTCCACTATGAAAATGTGAACTGCTATTATTACTTTTTTATTTTTTTTAGCACTACAGTGCACTGAGAGTGCATTGGTGAAATCAACAGGGCTGCTTCAGGCAGGAAGAGAATTCAGCTTGATGCGCATACAACATCTGCTTTTAACACTAAACCCAATTCTGAACTGGTTTAAAGGTTTTAAATAGCCTTAGAAATGAAAAAAAAAACAGAGCAGCACAGTATAGTAATGCTGCTTTATGGAAATACCATTACTAGCAGACTTGTTGGTGAAACAGTTGATAATGCACTCCAGCTCGTTAACTGACATCAAGAAAACCGTGGCTTTCAGGTGACTTTTTGGACTCTACACTTTTGCTCATTACTGCATAATCCACACATCTGACCTCTTTTAATATGGAAAGTTTTTGCTGTTGAATATATAAACACACCATTACAATACTCCACAGTCAAGATGTGTAGGTAGTTACAATGATGACACTTGTGGTTTCGAGTTAGTGCCAAGTCTTGCTCTCAGTTTCACTTCTGGCAACACCGCTCTTTTTCAAGTTAATGAGGTTGCCACACTGTGACTAATAGGGCACACATGCAAAATACAGGACCTAATTGCTTATTTCCTTTGCCAGCTGATCCATGCTTTCATCTCCCTATCTGGAGCATAACTTTCCCTTTTATAGAATCTACTGATGAAGGATAATTTCTTACCTAATTCAGTCCTTCCACAATCCTCTCCCAGCAGCACACATGGGTTTTACCTCCCCTTTTAAGTAGGTGAAGGCAGGAAAACAAGCTGGCAACACCAGTTCTCTGCTGAAGGGCTTGCCAGCCAATTACACTCCGATATTTAAACAAGCAATACCAAGAATATTACTTACCAAGTTCATTTACACTGATCTAACCTCTCTAGAGTTAATACAGTGGCTTTAATCAGAAGTTGACAAGTTCAGTCAAAATAAGGGACCACCAGCACTGAATCTTTGGGCTGGGACCAACATTGTTGGAGAAAGAGTGTAGGGTGACCTCAATGCAGCCTTCCAGTATGTAAAGGGAGCCTACAAACAGGAGGGGAGCCAACTCTTTCAAAGGGTAGATAATACAAGGACAAGGGGAATTGGTTTTAAGTTGAGGGAGGGAAGATTTAGGTTGGGTATTAGGGAAAGTTCTTTACTACAAGAGCGCTAAGGTGCTGGAACAGGCTGCCCAGAGAGATTGTGGATGCCTCATTCCCTGGAGGTGTTCAAGGCCAGGTTGGATGGGGCCCTGGGCAGTCAGGTCTGGTATTTAACGGGGAGGTTGGCAGCCCTGCATGCAGCAACGGGGGTTGGAGCTTGATAATAGTTGAGGCTCCCACCAACCCAAGCCATTCTATGATTAAAAAGTCTGAGGAACACTGCTTGTGGATGGATATGGAAAGTTGGAAGCTATCAGTACAAACAATGAATAAACAGACACATCTTCTGAGCCATCCATGAAAACAGGCACGTGGCTCCACAATTTTCAAATGAAAACCCAAATGTAAGCAAACTCAGGAAAAAAGCAAAGCACTGGTTTACCTGTTAACTCTTCTTGGACATTTTTCTGGCTTTATATCCAATTCATAATGGTAGATATCTATTTTAGGAATGTCCATTTCAAAGAAGTTGGCCTGCAGTTTGATTGTTCTCCCAGAAGTCCCAAAATCTGGGCGAGGAGGAGGTTTGAAGGCATATCCCTGTACTGGTGGTGGCAACGGTGGAGGAGGTGCAAGCACTGAAAAGAGAGAAAGCACAATTAGCCACATCAGCTACATTCACCTGAATTGAACAAATTCACAGACTTTATCCAACAAAAGAGGGGATGTTCAAACTGGTAACAAAGAAAACCTGCTATCAGGAGTCCATTCATTTTCTCTCTTCTTCCAAAGCTCTCCTAGTCCTCACCATTGATTAGAATCTTAAAATTAGTTACATTTTCCCATACAACGAGACAGCTGGGCTGGATTTTGAGATGCTAAGCAGGCACTAAGCAGACACTGGTGGAAAATCAAGAACAAAGCAAGAACTAGAGCACCATTTATGAAGAATCTCAGTTTCAAAACACATACTGATGCGAACTGTGGATTGGCATTGAGAATATTACTGTTGTTTTATTTTTTTTTAATTGTTCTATGTTATTATTTTTATTAATAAAACAGTTATTGGGCTTTTTCCTCATTTCATTTATGTTTGGGTCAGGTCTTGTCCTCAAAATGCATACACTCCTTTAACACCACGTTACTGCAGTTCAATAAATACTGCCACTAAAACCTGTGACTCTCCAACAGTAACCCGAAAGATCCATTCTAAATTATTGTTCCAGAAGACCTGTGCTTCTGTGGTGATGGTGATGCTGTCCTAGCATTCCCACAGCTTCTATTTTCTGCTCCTGGCACTTGGACTGTTTGTTCCTTTTTATCCACGCTTATATCTTGGTGGCATTATCATCTGCCTCACCACTGTTACCTGTTCAACCACTATGCACCCACATTAAGCATTTCCCTTCCCCACGCCATTATGCTCTCTAACACTGCTGTACTCACCACCACAGCCTGATTTCTCCGCCCTTTCTCTTGCTGTGCTGGAGAGACTGACATCAGTCTACTCCTTAAACTGGGATTGCTCGTTACTTCTCACAGGGATATAATGAAGCTCTGTTTACAAATATTCAAGGAAGAACACTGGAGCTTGGTAAGTTCCACCAGAGCTTAGTGACAAATGGTAAAAAGGCAAATTATGGAGATAACATGAAAAATGCAAATTCCTGGGGAAAGATATGAAACAGTTCACATGCACAGCAGAGAACAGAACCAGGCATTTCAGAAATAATGACCAGCAACATCAGCAACTTTCACTTTTAAACTTCACCTGTTTTAAGTGCTCCAATTAAAGTTATTTCTGGCTTAACACACTGAGCAGACTTATATAGGGCAGGGTGGTGCTTGGAGGAGATAAGCACTGTTTATTAAACAGCAGCACTGACCTGATAAGCAGTCAGCCTGTATTTCTGTGGCACGAAGCAGATACACATGCATTAGCAACAGGACTGATGGCTGTACCTATGTGCACCTTAGATGTGGCATTGAGGAACATGGCCTGCTGGGCACGGTGGTGATGGGTCAATGGTTGGACTACAGCATGACCTTAGCGGTCCTTACCAGCCTTACTCATTCTGTATGGGAATGCTTCTATACGGGGTGTTGCAGAGGATACAGATATACCCTATCCATGGCAACCTGCCACAACTCACCCACCAGAGCCCAAAGGGCTGCCCCTGGTGGTCTTCCAAATTCACTCTTGTAGTTTTTTTTACTCCATTCCTGGTTTTCAGAGACTCCTTTGAAAACACACACAGTGCCTTCAGACAGTATTCTGAAAGTCTACATGCACTGGATTTTACATTTAAAGTGCTGTCAAGGGGAGAATGAATTAGATTTCTTATTTAAAGACGAGTATATGAAAGACGAGTACACCGAAACATCTGATATGCATCAGAAACTCCTTGCTCATTTGCTACATGACAACGTGAATAATAAAAATGTTTCAGCCTTGATGACTGAGACCATCAAGAAAACACAGAGCTCTATTTGTGTGGTTTGAAGTAAGGTACACTGGATATTCAGTAATGAGGTGCCAGTATAACGTCTTCAGGCTTCTCTGGAACTGAGAACTAGCAGACTTCCTACCAGAATTCATTCAATTTACAATAGACCAAGTGTTCAAAGTTACCACTCCTAAGAACTGAGACTTCTACCAAAGAAGTGGAAATTGGGGAAAACCCAGGTATTAGAAAAGTAACTGCCTCTCGGCAGTTTTCTTAAAGAACCATAAACCCCAGGCAGTATCACTCTGTTAAGAGAGGAGCAGGAAAAAGGAGGTGGCAGAGGAGCTGTGCTCAAACGTGGAACTGCACAGAGATATTAGTTTAGTGCAGAGTTTTGCAACAATGCTGCAAATTCAAAGCTGGCTGCATGCAGACTTCCACTCCATCAAAATACTGCAGATCCAAACTGGAGATAGGAGTGACTCAAGGAGCCACAGGGCCAAGGCACTCCCAGCGTGTAGAAGGAATGAACGAGCCACACTTCTGATTGCACTCCTCTCCCCCTCCAAAACCCAACCAATCGTGGAACTGAATTATCAGGGCCATTTAATTTATCACCTAAATGGAGGCCTTCAGCACCGTCCTTTATTCTTCATAGTGTTGTAAAGCTGAAGGTTGTTCAGCTCTCTGAAGTGCCGCTCAGCACTGAAGGCACATACAGAAGATTTTTAGTGTGGAATTATGCCACTAACACACAGTTGGAGGCCTAATGAGTTACTAAATAAGAAGGGGGCAAGCTGGTTGCATCCAAAAGGGCTTGTCGACACAGGAGATCATCCAAGCATAATTCTACTACTGTAATTATGTCAATACTTTTTCTTCCACAGCAAGTCCTAACACATTTAATTATCTGGTGATGTTTTCACAGATCAAAGAACATTTTAGCATTGGGCTAACGCAGCCTACACCTGTCATAGGAAGCCTCTCAAACTATACGGCCTGTAAGTGAAACTGATGTGAAGGAAGGAAGCCTTATTCGGAAGCCCAGCTTTCAGTTGAGGTTTCATTATCAGACATCAGGGCGGTTACTCCGGATCATCCATGTGGGTGTTTTCAGATATTGCTGTGTTGATCTACAATACAGCTGCCACTGCCAGAAGCTGCCACGTGACAAGGAGATGTTCAAGAGCTTCACTACTTTTTTTGAGCTCAGTAGCGCATTTTTATTCACCTCAAACAACAGATGCAGGAAGTGAAACAAGCACCAGGCAATAGAACTTAACCTGAAGACAGAGTAACGCTGCAAGACGTACAATAAATAACACTTTTTTTTCCACAAGTATATCAGACACACTAATTACTTGACTCCCGTTTAATGAAAGATGTCCAAATTTCATGCTGGCATACAGAATTTTAACACAGTATCAAAGTGAGTCCCCCTGCAGCACTTAATGTGCCTGGCCTGCCAATCCCAGCCTTGCAGACAGTACAAAGACCACCTTGGAGTTTGCTTTTTGAACTACATTTTGCTGTTTCCAGTTAACTCGCTGATTCCATCCCTTCCATAAGGAGATATCACTACTATCGATTCAAAAACCAAATTGGGGGGGAGGGGTTATGAACCTGAGCTCAGCTACTGAACAGCTGTTTTGCCCCCAAGCCTGCAGGAAACAGCAACAAGATCACATTAAGAACCAAGATCAGCAAAAGAAGGGATGCGTGTGCTGCAAGAGGCAACTGTGTAGGAGGTGGTGGATATGGTAAGAACACAGAGTAAGCTGCAAGAGACCAGACATGGCCACTCTCCTCTTCACAGGAGTTTCCAAAGCAACTCCTGCAACTCATTCCAATAGTTGATTACTCTCATGGTGAAACACATTTGTGATATTATTAGCTAGTTTCCTGTGCTGCAGCTTCTGTCTCTTACCCTGTCCCTTGTGCACCTTCTCTAACTCCACATCTACCTCCACCAGATTTTGCCCTTAGGAAACTTGCAGATTTCCTTAGCTGTCCTGAAGGTTCTACAATCCCAGTTCTCTCAGCCATATGTATGTATGTCAGAATGTCTTTGCACGCAGTCTTCAGCTCCAGGCCATCTTCAAGTTTTCTTACAGTACGTGTTTTTAAACAAATTTGACTTCTGAACTGGTTTTCTGTTAGGAACGGCTGGAGAAAGATAGAAAGAGAGCCTGCAGTGTTTTGTAAGAGATAAGAGAAACTCCAAGCTGCAGCTAATAATCCCTTGATACTATGGGGGGTTGAGACCTCTATACATCTGCCTTTGCTGCTTATTAAGCACGTTTTGGAGTACACAAACTAAGTTCATCAGTCAAATTACAGCACTGTTGCATTAGATGATACACAAGGAAACAACCTTATCAGTTATCCCCCCAAATTCAACAAACCACAATAGAAGCACTGCAGGGAAACTGAAGAAATATGGATGCCCCATCCCTGGAGGCATTCAAAGCCAGGCTGGATGTGCTCTGGGCAGCCTGGTCTGGTGGTTGGCGACCCTGCAGATAGCAGGGGGGTTGAAACCAGATGGTCATTGTGGTCCTTTTCAATCCAGGCCATTCCACGACGATGATTCTATGATGAAATGATGATGTAGTCAGAACTTCATTTAAGCCTGTATTACAGCATTATTTTAACTATCAACTATTGAAGATCCCATAGCAAGGTGCAATTGCCAGAAGATTTTCTGCTAATAACACATCCTCTTGAAAAACAATACTTGATAGAGCCCAGAAGGGCAAGTAACCTGATAAGCATCTGAAAGGAATGAAAGAGTAAAAACAATTATTCCTGCTCTTTTATGCAAATGAACACCATCTAAGATTTACTGAGGATAAATCCTCTAACCACTTCTTGTTCTAGTGGTATCAATGAAAACAATTATTCAATTGGATGGAGAGCAAACAGATTACTGAAGCTGTCCTCAGAAGGGAAGAAAACAAAAAGGGAGATTGGGGAGGAGAGCCTTCTGGTAATCCTTATCTCCTATTCCAGTTTCCTAGCCAAGGGCTGTTAAATGATTATTTTCCTGGAACGACCCCACAATGCTATCCAGAGTTCAATCACTTGGGAATGGAGAATTCCTGCTCCCCATCACATTCAGACTGCTCCTGTGCTTCTCACAAATACCTGCTTGTCATCATCGCGTAATCGTTTGAGTTGGAAGGGATCCT